TTGTCAACGTGGAATTTTTTCCCACAACAACGTGGATTACACGTTTACAAGGAACGTTTATTCCACGAAGCAAGGTCGAAAATTGAACTTTCCCTCAACGTTCCCTCAACGTCTTGTGCAGACTGGGATATTGCATTCCTCTGAACACAAATCATCATGGTAAAGACTTGCCTTGCTCTGCTTTTGGGGATGCAAATTTGTGACTATCTAGACAAGATCTTTCAAGACTTGCAAATGTATTTTTACACAATTTAAAACAGTCTCCATTGCAAATGCCATTTCTTCATATAAACCCTCACCTCTTTCATGGTACCATATATATAGCAAGCACAATGTAAAATCTAGTCAAAATTCACTTGTTAATCATTATCAAGCAACATGGTCTTGCATTATCACAGACCTATACGTGTAGGAATCAAATAGGGTTAAGCTTTACTGTTTTCCATTCTTGAGAAAATTTTCACTGGACTTGGACACTCGTGCAAGAAGAAAATCCCATGAATGCGTGTCTTTGTAATACAAAAAATTGTGCGACTCAATTGAAAAACCCTAAGCGGCCAACCACATCTATCCAAACGTTTTTCGTGTTGCTCACAGGCCATGAGTAAAATGTATATATATTGTCGCTGGCTACGTAGAGGCTGGTTGTTCCGTTGAGGGAGTAAGCGAAAAGGGCAACTCACCATTTTGCGATGATGGCTTTACTTGACTGCCCTCGAAGGATGGACGGACCGAGCAGTAGGGTTAGGCCACAGTGTCAACTTGAAATCCTGCGACTTTTTCGTCTACAAGGAGAGAAGCGCCATCATCAACGGCATGGCCGCTCGCGTCGTAGGCCCTGCACCAGCATTCGATTAATTTATTTATTAATGTTTTGTACCGAGTTGCTCTCCGCGTGCATTCGGCGTGTTTTTCACGTTTCCCGGATATTCGTCATTGGAACTTGACATTCTTGAGTGTCACAATCAAGTGAAAATGTGACGAGCTCAAATGATGAACATAACGTAGAGCCTTTGAGAATAAGCCGATTTATCATCGTATTTACGGTGAATTTTTATCGACATGGACTACACACGTTGTCAATCCAGGGATTTCAAGAATTTCATTCGAAAACTTAGAGCATAGGCCTACAAATGAATTAAAATTGCATGAAATCAACTCCAAATCCATGCCAAAAGGTGCTTATAGTCTTCTTTCCTGGTTTTCAGAAAGCATCCCAGATAAGAATCAGAGCTTTATAGGGAAAAGTTGACCGTGTAGGCCCATCCAAAGTCATGGCTGCACCAGGAGCCGGAGTCAGACTCGGAGGAGAGTTCATGAGGAAGGTGAAGCCGATTTTCTCTTCCAACGAGGCAGAGGCCAGACAACGAGTCATAAGTTTATACAAGGCGTGGTACAGGCAAATTCCTTATATTGGTGAGTCCAGGCCCTATGTGATGTTGGCCGCTAGGGTGTTTCTTTTCCCGAAACGTAATGCTTCTTGGGCCCCATTTATCATCAACCTTGCCTTTGGCAGAAATCAATTGATGTCTTTTCTTCTGGCCTTTCCCAAATTCTTCTCTTAGGTTCTGCCTTTAAACACTAGTTGAACACTGCCTCATCATTCTTTTAATAGTTCCAATGGTATACATTCCCTCATACCTCAAAGGAACCTTTACATTGCTTCTAAACATTACAATCCCCTATATGATGAAATTGACAGGACTTCAAGAATGTAATTATTAAGTTGGATGTGATGAAATTCAGTGAAATGGTTGCTGCCATTGTATTTCACTTTTTCACCATCTCTTATTGTACCCTTAGATATTGGCATTGTTTACATGGTTTATTATATTCGAGTAATTGAGTTCACTTTTCCCAATGTAATATTTACCTATGCTAAAGATGGCACCTGAAATGTTTGTGGAATCGCTGTGGATTGGGATCTGCACATTAACTGAAAGGACCATCAACACCTTTAGCTTGGGGGCTTCTAAGAGATTAAACTGGATAAATGTCAATATCTTAGTGTGTTTAGCTTATCTCATTCCTTGAAAACAGAACAACAGGCTTCAAAAAGCCTTTTGTAATATAAGACAATTGAGAATCAAAACAATAATCCAGGCGTATGTGCATATTTTGCTTATGTAGCTTCTGCAGTGAAACCTGTCAACTTTTGAAGCTAATTAAATCTCTCTCTTTCCAGTCCACGAATTCGACATCCCCAAGTCCGTACGACAATGTCGAGAGAAGCTCAAAGAAGAATTCGTGAAAAATAAGGACCTCAAGGATGTCCGCATCATAGATGCCAAGGTCATCAAGGTCAGAAGCCTTACAAGTACTCATAGCCCTTTTGATGGCTACTGAGCCTCTTTACCATTTGCTGAGTGATTGCTTCTTTGTCCCTACTCAGGGTCAGATGGATTTGGTCGAGACAAAGAAGATGTGGAGGCAAAAGCACCATGTGATGAACTATTTTCAGGATACTCGGAACAAGCAGCCGACCGATTTCCTCTCTAAATTCTATGCGGGTCGAGAATGAAGAGCCTATTACGAACCTGCTTTTGTGAGTGCAATAGTTGATTGAATTTGAAGGTGACCCTTGGTGGCAATTAGTGGTCATAATTGTGAGGGTAGCATCATTAATGAATAAAATTTAATTTTTCCTTCCATCTTGTGGTACTTTTCAAAATTCTTGTCATGATAGGATGGAAAACTCTTGCTGGTAGAGTGACAATGCAAAATATTCATTAAAAATTAATGCAAAAAAAATTAGTTTTTTTTTTCTTTCAGTGAAATCCTTCATTGCCAAAGTTTCTCTTGCTGGTCTGTCTGAATACTCATGTTGTGAAAGTCAGCCAAGAGGCTGTCCAGAAATAGAAGAGGATTAATGAAGTGGGCAATGGAGATTCCCAACAAGATAGTAGCATGGGTATTGCAGTTTGTATGGATTATCATGCAGTCATTTTCATTGAAGATGATGGTTCCACAAATCCCGGCCTTTGTGAGAGTTGCTACACATATGGCATTAAACACCAGGGGCTATATGAAAACTGGGGATAGCATTTCGTTAAAATGTAGCAACATGAGACCCTCAACTGACTGGAGCACAGAAAATTTGGCCTCATTTTTAAATTGATTTTTTCATGCATTTAGTATTGCATATTTAAATTTCTCTGGGCTAATTCTTTGAGTCTCTGGAGTATGACAAAATCAGCTTGATTATCTCCTGTTGTCAGTGGAAGGGATGTAACTGACTGAGTGTTTGCTGGATCTTGGACTGTCCAAGAACATGTTACAATGAGGGTTACAATGACAGTTACAATGAGGGTTAGAAGTGATGGGACATACGTGAAGCCCAAATAGAAGTCCTTGGCAGCAGGTGACATGTTGAAATCAGGTGCATGACTGATAATCACAATGCAAGACTGCACTTGCCAATAGGATCTGGTGGAAAGAGAGCAGTTCAGTGCATCCACATTATTCCATGGGAAATAATTCTGCAGTGGGAGTACTGACTGTTCTCAATGTATTTCTGGAAAGCAGAACTTTCCATGGTCTGTATGGAGGTCAAGGTATTGGGTGTCACTAGTGGAGTGTTCCTTGAAAGTTTCAATGTGTAGATCTTTAGCGAATGTGGAAGTATGGTGAATTTGAATACCAAAAGTTATGTCCCATGGGAACATGTGAGCAATTGAATCTGAATCTTTGTTTTGACTAATGTGTACAAGTACTGCAGGATATACAACCAATTGACAAAAATCCCATATCCCTTATCCATGAAATCCCCTTGTTCTGCTTCAATGCAGCCTAAGGATATTCTTTTAAAACTCAATGTCCAAGTATTGTCTTTACTTGGCTAAGTAAGAAGTAACTAATTTTAATGTGATCAGTTAATCAACTCTCACCAGTTCCAGAAGCTTCAGGACACTAATAATTTTGCAGAATATGTCATAATGCATGGTGCATGAGCTTTATATCCTGAGAAGAATTTGGGCAAAAGTACCAGTTGTCGTGCAGTTTCCAAGATACAATATCTGTGTTTGAAAAATGTTCTGCACTGTTGCCTTGGTCAGTTTCCTCATAGTGATGAGCATCATCACAGAAATAAGGAAAGAATGGAGGGAAGAAAGCAAGATATTGTATTGCCTCAAACTGGATAACACATGGAAGCAAAATCAGAAATAATTTTTGCACTTGCACTTGTTGCTTCTGTCCACAATTTGTGCATGGCTGGGTTTCCAAAATTCCATCTTTCAGCAATGGTTTTACTTCATTTTATGCATACTCATCACAGATCATACCACAGAAATGCATAAAAAGTCCCAATACACTCACTCTGATCACTTGATCACACAAGCCAAATCCATAACTGACAGAGATTCACAGATTGTTGCATGAAAACTCTCCATTGAGTCTAAGTAAAAAAGTACTAGGATAGCCAAGAAGACATAATTTCAAAGTGACTGTCTCTCCCTTCTCTTTGGTTAAATCAGATTCAAACAGTAAAACTGCACATTTCATACATTAGCATTGTTTTGTGCTTGGTTGACCATGAGAAAATTCCTGCCTTGAACTATGTGCTGACATCAATACAACAAGGGCTCAGATGAAGTCAGCACTTGAGATTTAAGGCAGATAAGGACCAGAAAGAAATGAGAAACTGCCATCATCCAGCTGAGATTGACCCATGCATAATCTGAATTCATAATAAAGCTTCCAATAACATGTATCAATATTGCACATTATGTTCAACTATAAAGAAATGCATACTTTATGACAGGCAGGAATTAACTATCACAAGATGCACACTGCTGACTAGAGACTCAGTATTGCTTTGTGCTGAAGAAGCCCTTTCTCAGTGTATTCCTTGAGTGCCGGTATGACATGCTCGACGAGGAATTCCTCAACCTGCTCTTTGGCACGACCAATGTATGCCTTTGGATCCGTGAGCTCATCGAGTTGCTCCCATACAGGTGCAAAATATGAGTCGCTTTGAATCTGTAATATGAGATTGTTCTCCAGTCCTTCTTGCTTCACCCGGTTCCCTGCCTCTTGGGACAGTTGACGGATCTTCTCATGACACTCCTTTGGGGAAGACAGAAACCCATTGAATTGCAAATCAACTAACAGTTCAAAGAGACTACGATGACATGCATTAAAGCCATGGGCTCACCTGTCGATTTCCACCCGCCTTGACCATGGCCATGATGATGCTCTCAGTTGCCATGAAAGGAAGCTCCTCAGATAGATGTTTCTGGATCACATTTGGATAGACCACCAGCCCTTCAAAGATGTTTTGCAGGATCTGAAGACATGCGTCAGCAGATAAGAATGCTTCTGCTATGGTAATCCTCCTGAAAAATATATCGAAGCAACACAAATGACACATTAAGACACTCCAATGAACTCAATGGATTCAAATCCATTTGCAACAACCGATTGGCGCTGTCGTCCAAGGTCCGTTCCATCCACTGACAAGCAGAAGTTTGCAAGGCACCGGAATGCAAGGTCATGAGGTGACGTGCGATGGCACAGCAGCGCTCGCTCCGCATTGGATTTCGCTTGTAAGGCATTGCACTCGACCCAATTTGAGCGGTCTCGAACGGTTCCTCCAACTCCTTGCGGCTGGCCAGCAGACGGATGTCGCAACAGATCTGCTCGAGATGAAACATGTACACTTCATGACCTGAAATATCCCTAGGAAATTGAGAGGAGAACGAGGGAAAGCGAGGATACCTTATGCATCGATGCTCCCATGCTGGCCAGGGCAGAGAGGCATTCCACATCTACTTTTCGAGGATAAGTCTGCCCACACACGGGGTAGGATTTCTCGAAGCCAGCCATCTCGGTCACCAGCTCATCCAGCCTTTTCACCTTCTCGTGGTCACCTGCGGATAATCTGCCATTTTGCCTGCACGTGTCGAGAATGCGAGGTCAGTCCCACTGGGAAACTCCCTCTGTTCTATCTCGTCTTACTTACATCTTAAAAAAAACTTATTTCAACCACAATACTTCAGCACCGAATTTTGAATCCCACCATTCTTACATATCCAAATGAGATCAATTAATTCATGAGTCTACCTTCAAAAAGCTGGAGGAAGCTCGCTTGCGTTCCAGTTGTTCCCTTGGCACCCCTGAAGCACAGGTTGTCCCTGGCATGTGTGAGAGCCTGCACGTCCATGAGCAACTCGTAGAGCCAAAGGCAGGCTCTCTTACCCACAGTTGTTGGCTGAGCTGGCCTGTAACAGTAAGATCATGAACAGGGAACTTTCAAGTACTTGAAAAGAAACACCAGAAAAATATGAGAACTCACTGCAAGTGTGTGAAACCAAGAGTAGGCATCTCTTTATACTTCTCAGCAAAATTCATGAGGCGATGCATGCATCTGGCTACCTAAATAAAAAGTAGGCATATATGACTTGCAAAAAAACCTGAACATGGATTAACTTAATTGACTTGAATAACTTAGAGCCAGGATTCTTAGGTGCCTAACTGTGGGGAACAAAAGACAAAACCATTAATCCATTCATTTTCCCTGAAACTCACTTTAGGAAGGAGGATGTTGAATCCATCTCGCAGGATGATCAAATCCTGAAAACATAAAGAGATGGGCCATCAGTGAATCCAATCAATGCTCACTTTTCAAGGGCCTAGACCCCCTCTTTTCTTAGAATGACAGACTCACTGCATTGTCGCCCACATAGCACGAAGTGGCACCCAGATGGATGATAGGAGCTGCTCTGGGGCAGACGGCTGCCATGGCTCGGATGTGGGCCATCACGTCGTGCCGGATCTCCTTCTCTTCGGCCTCGGCACGACTGAAATCGATCTTGCAGACTGCAGCCTCCATTTCCTGGATTTGCTCGTCGGTGATGGACAGGCCGAGTTGCTGAACGAACGAAAAATTGCGATGAAAAAGCCAGCTCAAGAGATGCAGCTCGTTTCAGAGTCAGGCCTGCTCACCTGCTCGGCCTTGGCGAGGTAAACCCACAACAGCCTCCACGTGGAAATCTTACGAAACTCGCTGAAATTGAAACACATTTCTCTGGAGGCATACCGAGAGCTGAGTGGGGACTGATAACTCAGGTACACCGGTTTGATATCAGCCGGCACCCTTTCACGGAGACTAACGTGATCTGTGTGCGCCGCCATCTTTAGCTTGACTGGACGTCGCCATCTTAAGCTGGACGAAGTCCAGCTCGCTGCCGGTGTCGGCTCCAGTTCTCCTGTAGTTCGTTGGGTGGCTAGATTCATCGTCTATTTGGAAAGCGGTGCAAAGTGTCTCATGAACTCTTTCCAATCAGGATTTTTTAAAGTAAAAATGCGCAGTCACCTCCAATTTAGATTGCACCAAAATAACAGCCAAAGAGCACTACGTTTTTCGTTTGGCCACAGCAGCGCAGCGAAAGTTGTTGAAGAGACAGATGTAGGAAAGCATTCGGCTCCGTAATGCATCATTCGCTCATCTCTCCCGGAGTTCTTTCACCCGTTCAATTCCAAAAGGGCAATTAAGATAAAAGAAACGGTTACGGCATCAGTTCCCCGAAAACGAAGGAAGTAGGCCGAATGACCCAAGCGTGAACATCGATGTCGTCCCCATCCGAGACACCTCGGCTCCCCGAATCGATCCGTTAAACGCGAATCACGATCTGCCGACGAAATCCACACACACAAATCGATGCAACTACATTCTAAATAAAGCCAATCACTCGAGAGCATTCCCCTCCTCCGTCCTCTCGTCCCCACGTCAACCTCGATGCCTCACACCCCTCTGGGAAGCGAGGCGGTGAGGACGTTCACGTTCCACGTCGCAGTTCGATCGGCTGCTCGTCTGATTTTTCTTCGTTTCATGCCAGGGAACTCCCCACTGCCCACAAAGGAAAAGTAGAACCTCCACCGGTTCGTATTTGGCTGCAAAGCAGGCCCATGGCACGAGGCACGAAAGCCGCGAGGCGCGATCCATCCGTCCCAGACCGCGAATAGCCTTTTCGATGAGACCAACAACGCGTCTTCTCTCGCGTCTTAAAGCTTCCAATAGACTTCGGCCGTGTTGACTGCAAGAAAGTAAATTTCAGCTTCGAGGAGTCAGCTTTGTAACTGATTCTCGTCTCCGTACATCGAACCGATAAATGATTCTGCGGAAAACTCTTTGCTAAAATCGATATTTTGCTTTTCTACCATGATGGAATCTCCCTTCATAGTTCTCCATGGCTTACGAAACCGATTCCATGAATTTCGCAGTAGAACCGGAAAATGGTTCCAGGCGGAATTTTTGCTCATCACGGGGACTCGTCGGGGAACCGAAGGAGTACCGGGGCATGCTCGCAGTACTGGCGTAATCCTGCACGTTCTCGAGCGGAATCGGCTTCATATGGACTCGAGGCGAACCCATAGGCGACCAGAAGCGTTTGCAATTTCAGCCTGGCACAGTAGTCATTTGCAGACTAATATTTGCGTTAATGATTCTCGAGCGACCGGTTTTGTTTTAGTCTGTGGTGTTAGCAAGGAAAACGAGAGACGTGAGGCGAAAAAATATCATGTTATCTCATTCGTCAACACTAAAAATCATCTATGTAACAAAATCACAATATCGGAGGTTCAGTAGAGTTCGTGCGAGAACCGCCGAGGAACAGACTCACGATTTCTCAGATTCTTGCTGCCTCTGAGCGAAATTGAGGAACACCTACGGAAAAAAAAAATCCCATTACATAAAAAAATCCCATGCAAATTTGGAGCTGAAAAAAAGAAACTTGCCTGTTCGAGGGTGGTCTGTCCCACGGAGTAGTCCTGGATGTGGAATTCGTCCTTGGCGGATTCCATGAGTTGGAAGATCCGGGACCAGTTCAGGCTGGGATCGATCACTTGATAAGTGACGAGGCCTCGATGATAGTCCTTCAAGATGCTACCTAAAAAGTCATTCAACCTTCAACATACTTCCGGGGTACATTGATTGCTACTTTCGCGTGCAATTTTTTTTAATAATTTATTTTAAGTTACTGATCATAATTGAGGTGATGGAATGCGAAACGTAGTATTATAATTTGTTAACCACCACGTCTTTCATGGCACTATTTTAATGCTTTTCTTTTTTTAGATCGATTCTAGATCTCTTCTTTTTGCTCCCGCACGATATCTTCCAAGAAGGAAATTTGAGGTCTTCCCGTGCGGCGAGCAAGATAAAGAGGATTCGCAAGGCCGCCCTCCCATCCCGAGTGAAAGCGACACTTTCATCATGATTTACGACGGAACCTCTTCCGTCGTTTCCTCCTCCGACCGCGAGGAGCATCGGCACCGAGCACGAAACTTTCTCCTGGATGGAGGCAGATGCGGGACAGACCTGGGAACTTCTCCATGACGTATTCGTGAAGTCGCTTGGTGGTGGGCTCCTCGTCCACCCTCTCCTTCAGGCTGCTCGATCGCCTTCCCCTCGCCTTCGCGCTGCTGCTCCATCTCTGCCCGATCCGAAAAACCGGCTTTAACGCTTTGACGCACAAAACGTGACCCTACGCCCTAAGCTTTTCGTATTTTTACGATAAGAATGTTAGAGCGACAATGCTTACCTAGCCATGGTCAACTTATTCCAGATACAGGGAATTTAGTTTCAGTCGGGAGGACAGTTTATCATTTTCGTCTCACCGGCAAAGGTGGAAATGTGAGAATCAATATTAAAAAAAATCAAGTTCAACTAATTTCCCGCTTATTCCACAAAACCCATCACTTCACAAAGTCACAACTTAGCATTTTGATTCTTAATTTTTATTAGCTCATCTTATCAAGCTGTTTTCATCAGCTGTTTTTATCTCATGTTGGGCAACACCCACTTCAATTCCACTTAGCTAAACAAACAGAACCTTCAACTTGAAAAACGCCGTTATGTTGGACTGGCGAGAAAACGCCGGAGTCATCGGCCATTAAGGCCAGCGCTGACGCGGTGACATGAAGTGTGTCACGGAGATTGGGCTGTTCGCCCCGAGACGTGGGAGAGTTTCCATCTGGTGCGATGGGAAATTTCATTGTTGTCGATTGATGCGCTGTCGCGGGAAGGGAGAAAAATCAGGCGCCCTCCGCTGTAAATAATGGGTTCTTGCAGTTTTCCGGACGCAAAAACATATATGGCACATACATGGCACATGCACCGGTAGGAAAGTTTCCGGGATCATGATTCAAGACCATGCTTTTTTTTTTTCTCTTTGCCTTGTGGGAAAACCCAGCGAAAGATCGCAGGCTCAGGTTACAAAAATGCAAACTAGTTCGTCTTTCTCCCCTCTAAACGTCAAAAATAGAATTCTGGGGCGAAAAGCAAGGCAAGATGCGAAACCTCGTCTTTGCCTCCCTTTTTGGCTCTGTCACTCTGAAGGTGAAGTCGCGGTTGGAGCCTAAAAATATCGATGAACCCATGGAGGATTCTGCTTCCCTAATTGTGGCATTAGCCGAATGCGATGCAGTGCAAAGAATCTGGTCGTAAGTCAAAAACACTTCAATAAAGATAAAAGATTAAAAGTAATAAAAATAAGAATTGTGACACATTCCTAAAACCGAAATAAATAGACTTCCTTGTTCGACGGTGATACGTCGAGTTTGCAGGGTCCCCAACTCACAAGTTCATCAGAAATCAAGATCCCATCGTCTTGCCTTTTATGGATTTGGTCCAAAATCGGCATCAAAACGCGGGGAAGCTCAATTACCTTCTGCCAATTTTCATCGGGTTCCGACTTGTTAAATGCACTCAACTTCATCATGGACTTCTATGAGAATCGATTTAACCGATTTAGTTCATCCCATAAATTCCACGTAAAAGTGAACACAATCAATTTGATTTTTTGGGCTTAATGCCCCTCGCCCATGATTTCAATAATTTTGACAGTAAATACATTTCTCAAAATCTCGGAAACTCAAAATGATTTCAAACAACTCCGCAGCTTCATCGTTTCTCCACCAAACCCCTCCATTTTTCGGTTCGGCATTCCTCCACCCGACCCATTCACGCAGCACGTAACACGAAAGGGAGTGCTGATTTGCAAATCCCGGATCGAGTCATTCCGACCTTTATTCTGCCTGGACCGATCGAGGTGAATCCGGCCGTGACGGCGCCTCGCCCCTAGTCGCAGGCCAGCGTTTCTCTCATACGGGTTGCCCACGCCCCACCCCTTCACCGGATGGAGAGGCGAGCGGATTCGGGCACCTCTAAAAATTCTAAGAACGTCCTGGATATTTTTTTTTTTACTGAATCCCGCCTAAGTGAATGGAACTTGTTACGTTCAAACGATTCGGAGCGGTGACCCTTTAGTCGAACCTCTTCCAGCCCTCACCTTGACGCCAGCCTTCCGGGAATATCAGAGCCCGACTTCTCGAATCGAGGAAAGGGACTTGACAACGAGACGGAAACGGATCAGCTCTCTGTCGGCAAAACTCTCTCATGTGCGTGTAAACCTGGACGAGGTCTCCATCCCCTCACGAGAGACATCTAGTGCAGCTTATTAAAGGTCTCGAATGCGAATCGGGTCCTTGTTCCCTGTTGATATATTTTTTCTTCAATCTCTCTCTCTGTGGACCCAGGTGGAATAACTCCTGCCTTCCCGCGCAAGACCAACGGTGAAAGAGCTATGACAGAACTCTTAACTCAGCCCACCAGAAATATTGACTTTCATCCACAAATAGCACGGGGATAAATAAGTATTTTTGCGTGATGAAAACGAAGGTAAAGGTAAATTCGAGAATATTCTCGATTCTGGAAATTATTTTCGTCTTTGTCTGACTACTTCAGGCGAATAAACCTGATGTATAGACTGTGCTGCGCCAGGACAATCATCAATCACCAAAAAAAGGTGCTCATATTTGCAACGTGCGACAAATTTCTAATTAATTTTACATATAGAAGAATTGCAAATACATCACGGACTCAGCAGGAATTCTCCATGAAAATTTTGAATAGGTTCTCGAGGGATCCGACCCACCGCATAGCAGGACGAATTTAATCAGGCACGCTATTTCACGGGCATACAAACAAATGGTTCATCGTCGTCAACTGAGGAATCTCAATATGAGAGGAAGTTAGCCCCGAGCTCTCCTTGCGTCCATCCATAAAGAGGAGGAAAGAGGAAAGAGACCTGGAGGACACTGGCGGTGGTGCTGGGCCTGACAGCTCCGGTTTCCCTCGAAAGATTCTCGGGCTTCAACTTGACGATGAGCGTGTAGCCCTGACCGAACTTCCCCTTGAGGTGCTGGGGAGACCCCAGACATTGGAACCTCCCGTTCACCATGATCACCAGGCGCGTGCACAGGGCCTCGCACTCGTCCATGCTGAAAACGCGTCGGGAAATTATCAGTTCAGGGAATTTGCTGCACGTGAATCGTGCAAGAACGTTACTTCTGTTACGTGTCGTGATTCATTTCGTGACGTTGGTAATTTTTCTCTTTTTATTTTTAGCTCCCAGTTCGAATATTCAAATACTTCTATTCCAATAAGGCCACTTACGGTATCAACCTCAATGCATACCGTTACAAGTAATTTCTTTTTTATTGGATTAACCACCTGCCATCATTTCACGGCTTACGTCGTCATGGCACCTTCCTCAAATAAAAGCTTTATTCCATATTTTGTAATTGTGATCGATACAGCCAATTCGGTTCGAATCGAGCGGCAAGGTTTGCATGTGGCATGGTTAAACACAGGTTCAAGTTATCGCCGGTTATCGCCAGCAGACAACCTGAATTTAGGCTCACAATTTTGACAAACGCAATGATTAGAAAACTCGAGAGACCAGGCGTTCAAGTACGCTCATCCTGACCCGAGTCATGACACAAAGCACCGAAACACATTTTGAGCTGTGATGACTCAGGTCATGCTGACCTCATCCGGCTCATCGCAGCCGGATGAGGTCAGCACTTTCAGGCCGTAGTCCGGATCGTCGGCGGAATTCCGGGCTTTTCCATCATCGTCTTTCCCCCCCGTCGATCCGACGGCATCGAATGGAAGCGAACGGCCCAACAATTTATTGCCTAGACTGCTGGAAAACCTCTAGTTCCACCCACAAACCCCGGTGAAAAGAAAACTCAAAGACCGGATCGAAATTAAATGAGCTGCTGGTCGCCTTTCGGCTCTTCTCGATGCTTCAAGTTTCTGCTGAGAAATTCATTATTTGCTCTCTAGTCTCGTCTCGTCTTGGAAGTCACGAAAAGCAGAAAAGCTGTGAGTTAATGATTATAAATAAACTATATTTATAAATATGATCGATAGATTCGGAGATTTCCGTTTTTTTTATATCAATTTTGCATTCCTTCTTGTGTCAAAACTTTCAATTATATTCCTCGCAAAATTTCGGCACCATGACTTGCTTTCCTGCGTGAACTTTCGACTCCGGAGAGCGAGCAGGCCAAAAAAATTTTCAGGCAAAATCTCAGCGACAAATTCGATGGCATTTCGCGAAAAATTTGCAAGGATTCTTCCCGGGAAACAGAAATTGCCCCGACGAGGACTTCTCTTCCGCGAAGGAATTGCATCAAGCTCGGCCGCAATCCCGGGTAATAGCAAGGTAAATCGAAGCTGTTCTAGCTCTCGGGCAAGGACGACCCATAGGCACAATGAAGCCATCCTTAGTTCATGCTGAGTGTCCTTCGATGCATCGAGACGCCAGCGTGTTCTGTCCCGAACGCCTCGAACAAAAGCAGAAATGGGCTCCGTTTCTTCAAGTTTCCTTTAGATTCGGAAAGACGTGCTCCGTGGGCGGGTCCCTCTCCCTGGCCGTAGAGGCCATGGATTGAACTGAGTTTTGAAATTCCCTTTTTGTTCATTGCATTTTTTTCCCTAAGATTTATGTTCTTGGTGGCAGTTGAATATTAAATATGTGTTCATGATGCTTGGTGCTTCTTGTTACTTTTGTGATTATTTTTTCACCATTCAATATGACCACAAAATCATTTATCGCAGTGACATTGAAGGAATTCTTCATATCAAATAAAAAGTATTGATGCTGTTGACTATGGAATATTACTGAGGAAGAAAAAACTATGGAGTAAGGGGATCTGTACTTAGAAAGTTTGTAAATGCCTGAAGAACAGGCAACAGATAATTACCATCATTTCTGGTAAAGTGATCGATCCATCAACAACTGAGTGTGGGGCACCATAGGGTTCCAATCCACTCTTCATGCGCCTTATTCAGTATTAGCTGCTGTCAGATTTAATCCTCGTATAAAACATCTGCCAATCAAGAAACCCTTGGTCCCAGAAGCAGCATAGATATGATATTCCATCCTCTGATGCAGCCGAAGTAGGAAAGACAGTTTCCTCCATGCCCAAATAGAGATGAAAAAAGCAGTACTTTTGGAGGAATTGAGGAGAAATTCGCAATGAACAAGGATATGTAACAAGTTGTAAAAAAGTTCTAAGGAACGTTACGCTAAAAGCTGCATTTTAGGGCCACTTGTTTCATCCAATTGACGAACTGACAATTGCAGTCGCAAGGCACAGATCTGCCGCTCCATCAGTTTTTTCTTTTTTTCCCAGTGTGTCGCTATGAGAATGGCAGCCCGATCTCGCCTGTTGTTGGAGGCAGAAGAGACAGTCGCGTCGGCACGACCGTGATTCATGTTTTCGTGAAAATCAACGCAGTTTGAGATGGAGGAGATATCTCGATTGGGAAAGGCGATGGGCCTATTTTTCGCCTTTTCCCACTCTTTGCCCCAAGCAAAAATGTGGCATTCGTGGCAGCAGGACGGCAGAGAAGGGAAAACCAGGATTTATTGACTAGACTTGGACTGAACATGGCGCCTTGTGAAGCTGTCGTCATTACCTGATGCCTCGCATCTATATACCTTGGGTAAGAGGAAATGCATGTCTAGAATTACGAAATCGTGCTTCGCCGTCACATTGTAAATGGCAAATAACTTGTTCGTTGGACAATGGGGGAACACGAGTACGAGACAATCGCGGGCTTCGTTGTAAATGGCAAGTTTTGGCGGGACGAGTTCCAAATTGAGTGTTGCAATTTGCCTCTCGTCCGTGTCGCGGCCGCCCTTTCTTTCCCAACCGGGCCACCGGTGGGCCCCACCGTTGGGCCACCGGGGAGGCCACCTGCCACCCTCCGTTGTCCTCCTTTCGCCTTTATTTTTTAAAAGTCCCTCGTCATTACGAGTTTCACTTTTTCCGAGCCGCATAACTTCAAGAAAAAAAAAAAAGAACCCAGAGCCAAGCCTCGGCCGTGCACAATCCACCTGCCCTCGAGACTCTCGGTCCCCCGTCATGAGTCCAAGGTCATCGCCTTCTTCCTTTCTCGGATTATCGCTGCATCTTCCCCTCTTTCGCTTCCGAGCCTCGAGCAAGCCCACGCTACCAATTTGAATCGTTATCGCTGTCTTGTCTGATTTAAACATATGTATATACGATATATATACCCACTGCTCGGTAACGATAGAGTTCCGGTTCTACTCAGCATGTTAGCCCTTTCCGTGCTGTCACAAGGGCAAGAGATCCGAAATTCGTGACACTTTTACTAATAAAACTATGCAAATCGTGAAGTCCCAGCTGTATTTGCGGCGCTTCCCATTCTACCACAGGTGCAGGTATTTCCTCGATTTTTGAATTTCTTATACATGCCGTCCATGACGTAGCAGGGATAATTTTTTAAAAGTTACTTTTCAAATTAGTTATTTTGAGTGTTTTTTTTCCAATATGGAGGTCAACCCTCCACTTTCAGTATTATTTATGCGCTTAGTCAGAAATTTCAGAGGAACACTCCTCCCAGCTTGAATTGATGTTGCAACAATAACCAGGTAGAAACAGCAGTTTTCTGCAATAAAATTGTCTTCGGTTTCATTCATACCTCAGAACAAACCGTTCGGAGGTAACATTTACCATACCACATTTAAATGCCTTCAGCGTGTGTACACGATAAATTACGACCTTTTCATGACACGACAGGCTGGCCTTGAAAACGTCCAGGAACATTCGTGACTCACCTGTGCGAGGTGAGAATGATGGACCGCCCAGAGTCGCGGACCCGGGCGATGGAGTCCCAGAGGAGTCGCCTGGCGACGGGGTCCATCCCGGTCGTCGGTTCGTCGAGGAACGTGATCGGGGGGTCGCCGATCAGCGCCACTCCGGTGCTCAGCTTCCGCTTGTTTCCGCCGCTGAAGTGCAAAACAGTTGCCAAATGGAGTTGAAAGTGGTGCAACGGAAGTAATTCATTTTAAATGAATGGAATCGCATGGAAAGACAGAGAAAGTAATGTAATGGAGAAAGTAGATATTGATGTTGGGTCCTGAGACTGTTCAAGAAGGCTCTGGGAAACGAGAGAATTGCTTGTATGATAAATTACTTTCTGGTGGCTAAACATTAAATTCATCTTTTCGAAGATCGATTTCGATGACTACGGTAGCATGTGCGCTAGGGCTAGTACGGCGCATACAAGGCATGGTCATCATCGGTGTCTCGCAAACGGCGCAACGGTGGCATGATTCACCGTCACCGGCAAACAGACGGGTAATGTCCAGCGAAGTTCTCTCGAGATATTTGATACCTCAAGAGAAATGTCTTCCATTCCTTTCCTTGCCAGAACTCTTCGTCTCTGAAGGAGTGCAAATAATTACCTGAGTCGTGAGTGACCGTTTTCTAATTCTGCTCATTCGAGACTACACGTGACGTTTTATGATAACAATAATACTTTATACATGATCCTGGAAAAGAAGTACGTCAGCAAATCGCGTCAGCGAATTCCATCGTCAACTGAAGGGATTCGAACTGGAACAGTCCAACAGTCGTTCCGTGGCAGCCCATCGATCGATCAAGTGAGTCATGGACTGGTGGAATCCGCGCTTGGGGCACTTATATTACATCAAGAGACGCTCCCTGACGGAAGGGAGACAGCGGTTGTCTGTGTAAGGGAGACAGCGGATGTCTGTGTAAGGGAGACAGCGGTTGTCTACGTCGCGTGTGTAATAGAATTTCAGGGAGGCATGGGCATGTACGGATGGGACGAAACGAGATATCCTCCCGAGGAGCTCCAAAAGATTTTAATATCTTTTGCATGTACGGCCGTTGAGTCTCTTCGGGAAAGATTAATGGAGTGCTTTGATCCCATCGAAGGTCGTCCCGAATTAGCAGTCCCAACAGGTGGCAGACAACAGGTTTTATCTCCGAGAGTTTATGATTCATGAATCTCATTTTCCCGCATGGTTGTCCAGCTGTCCATCACAGAGAATTATAGACCTGTACATGCTGAGCCTGATAAATGGTTGCTCAAAATGCTCAGACATTTTAAGGCCAGATTTTTTTTATCCTCTGGAATTAAGTAAGAACAAAATCCTGTGACTAATGCAGTCTAAATTTTCCCACTGGCGGCCAGTTCTGGCCTGCAATTTTCGAGGTCTGCGCACTAAGGTTCCAAGGGCTAATTAGTCTACCGTGATGAGTGCTAATGATGAATTTTCGGGAAGTGCAGGTCAAGCTTTCAGTTATCTGACCAATCTTAATACTGCATAGCGGTGGCGAAACTTTTGCAATTGCCAGACAGGCATCGAGTTGGTGCATCTTTCAGGTCTCCTACAGAGCAATATCTGCATATAGACATTGCTCCGCAGGAGACCTGAATGTATGCATCGGCCTATTTATTTTCTCAGCGAGAAGCAAGCGATACATTGTATCCTATATTTCTGCAAGGGAAAAGCTAATCTAGGCAACCTTCAATAACATTTCATGACAAATGCCGGCACGTGTGTCCTTTGCAATGAACAAGCATTATTGGGCAAACCTTGGACCATAACGGCTCCAGAATTCGCACTCACAGTTTGGTCATTATTTACCCGTGACAGGAATGATTGAAACCAGCCATGGATCAGGCACGACACTTAATATTGGCCTGGTCATTCTGTGCTATCCGGAAAACGAGGCCCTAACTGACTTCTCACCTTGGGCAATTTCTTGGTAGGGTTTCATGGTTGTTTAGTGGTATCAAGAGGCGATAACACCCATGGGATACCACGTATCGAGGTCGATCGTTCCTTAGTTTTAGGGTAGGCCTACTCCTCTTAAAGCCTAAGGGTTGCAAGTATTCATACACTTCTGGCAGTATTGAAGAGTATTTTCAAGGAAGAGATGAATTAATTGGAAGATATACGGTATAGTTTGGCTCGTCTCAGCACCAGAGCATGCCTTTTAGAGACACCTGCCATTGGAAGTACCGAAATAATTTACAAAAGGGAAATTCCAAGGGAAAGTCCACCCCAGGGCAAAAACGACTGCATCGCTACATATGTGGCACCAATGGCCTCGGCCTATCAGTATCCAGTATAACAAAAAGCAAATAACAGCATGATCCAAAGTAATTTAATGTCACTGCAAACTCCGATCCTCGCCGCCTAAAGTGAGGTCCATGTAAGAATTGCTTCTCAGAATGCATTGTGAGCTTTACATGCCTCATAAAAACAGCACATCTCTAGTTTAAATGTACTGGGTAAAGGATGATTTATCTTCGCGGTATTTCGATTATCTTCCAAGCCTAGGGATTAGAATTTTCTTTAAATCAATTTAGCGCGTGGTTTCATTTTTGTCCCCTCTGCTATCCCAAAGGCACTGTTTGTTCGCGTGATATCGAAAGTAATTTGCTAACCGCTCAGATAGAGTATTATCCTTGTCTGACCAATGCATCCGAGGACAGGATTACAGAGGAGCGGGAGCTGGATATTGGGAACGATCATAGACAATGATCTGAGACTCATCTCAAGGATTCGATTAAATGGTTCGTAGGTGTTTTTATTTATTTATTAAGTGGCTGCTGTGAGCTTAAGTCTGTTCTGTCTCTTAACCTGTCATTTACTGTACCTGAAAATGTTGAGTACATTATAAATGAATACGTAATCCTTCCCTCTAGCTTACCGTACGTTGTTGCTGACAGGAGGAATAAAAAGAGAATATTGTACGACTGGTATGTGAAAATCTATGATTATAAACAGAGGCAGCAGGGAACTCGTCATTGAAATTCGTCAAGTCTAAAGTGCTCAAGAGATACAAAGTAAGGAGAAGTGACCTGAGTTCCCGGACGAGTTTTCCGCAATGCGCTTGAAGCAGAAGGTCGGAGATGAGACTCTCGGCGAGGGGCCGGATGTTGGATTCGGGGATGCCCTTCAATCGGGAGAACATCCACAGCGTCTCCTCCACGCTCATGTGGTCGATGAGGGCGTCGAACTGGGGGCAGTAGCCCAAGCGCTGCTGCACGCTCTTCACGTCCCGCCGGACTGAGAATTGATCGAGGTAGACATCCCCGTGGGAGATGGGCTCGTCGCCCGTGATCATCTTGAACGTCGTCGTCTTCCCGGCTCCGTTGATACCTAGCAGGCCGAAGCATTCTCCTTTTGGCACTCCCAGACACAGGCGGTCCACGGCCAGAAAGTCATCGTAGAACTTGGTAAGGTTGCTGCCGAAAGAGCATCCAATTAAGTACTCTTCGTTGTATCTTGCCAAAGCCAGAAAAATGCGGAAACAATACTTGAAAATATAGAAACTTTCACCTTATGAAGTGAAATTTTAATTTGGAAGGAAAATAAAGGATTTGATCAAGTTTCTCATCGAAAATAAAATAAAATTCTGAAAACTTCATTCCAGTTTCTTAAAAAAATATTTGCAGGGACAAATTGTGCTGGGACTAACTGGAGGATAAGACTATCGCTTTGAAAGAGTTGCTGCTTGGGCGTTTGCAAGATCCGTGATCGTTCCCTGGCTACGTCCTCGTCTTCTAACTCCTCCTCGGATGGCAACTCCTTACCTATTTATGAACAAATTTCATTATTGAATACTTTCTGACGGCAAATTCCTCCAAGTGAAGACCAAAACCGGTACAAAAAAATGAACAAATCACATGCTCCCATAGACAATAAGCCAAAATCCAACCCTTAGCCGACATATTGCAAAAAAATTGTGCAAAATGCATAATACCAGTCACATCATTCCCTTATTCTCCACATGTACGGTGAATATTGACCTCTTGGAGCAGCAGAATCATATTGCATCCTGCTAGAGTTACTAGAAGCAGCGAATCCATCCCAATTCGATTGCCTCTCCTTTACTCTCTCGTTTCATTAGAACATTTCTCCCAACACAAGGGCACGTAGGCAAAAAAATAAACCGCCGCGACAGATAGTATAAACTCTTCTAATGATGGTGATTGTGATGGTAATGTGTACAGTGCAACAAACCTATCTCCGTGCAATGTCTCACTCTCACCTCCACGCGAAAACTCAGTTAGGGTTAAAAAATGTTGGGTTAATAAATCCAATACATTAGAGTGATTACTTTTATGAATGCAGAGAGGAGACCAAAATATTGGGGGTCAACGTTGGATCAATATTTTAATATTGATCCTATCATCGGTCAACATTGGTGCAAGATCTGTTATTGGAGTAAATACTGGCATCCAAAGAGTTTTGCAACAATTTAAAGAGTAGATGGAATTACTCATGCTCAGAGAATCAACGGAGTCAGTCATAGTCAGTGCAAAGCTATTGGGAACAGCATGAAAAGAGGCGTTTTAAATTCGCCTAGGAATCTATCCCACTAATAAATTAAAGTCGTGCTTTTTTGTCGGAATTTGCAATGACGTAGCTATATCTTTAAAAAGTTTATTCAGTAATTCGGTCTCCACACAAACCCACAGACACTCCGTAAGGAAAGACTCACGGCCGCGATATACAAGGCGATCCTTGAGGAGATTGTAGATGTAGGGAAGGAACTTGATTTCGATGAGAAAAAGGAGAAAGAAGAAGAAAACGCCCAAGAAGACACAGGCTAAAACCATTCTTCCCACTCCTGGTTTTTTTAAAGCGAAGAAATTAGTCGACCAGTCCAGGCAGGGCATATTATTTCCACAAAAGCCCGTCACCGCTGGAAGGAGGAACAGATTAATTTCCAATGAGGAGGAATCAAGAATGAAATGTAATAATTATTCTTTAAGCATACCTGAATGAAAAAAATGTTTATTGACTTTAATCCAGGGGTGTCAAACTCAAATCGGTCGGAGGGCCGCATTCCCTACCCTGCAGATGCCTGCGGGCCGCACCCATAATTTTCCACTGAAATTTGTGGTGATAGTCTGTCCAAGCAGAAATTTCTAAAACACACGGCGGGCCGGATGAACCACCTCCGCGTGCCGGATCAGGCCCGCGGGCCGTATGTTCGACACCCCTGCTTTAATTGATAAATGTTAAAGAATCTGTGAAATATTACAAGTATCAGAAGTGGAACAAGCCATTTGGGAAATGCCGTATGAGTGAAGACATAAAATTCTCATTTCTCACGTCCACAGCAGGGATTGGAGAGATTGAACAGCAGGCCACATTCGCAGCATTCTTCCAACGTTAAGTTCAAGGGCCCATCATCTATCAAAGGTATTTCCAGGTCCATACAGGAATTGGGACACAATTCGTTGATCCTCCCATTGCTATAGAGGTAGTTGATTCCGATCCCCAGGTCAAAATTAGGGAGAATCAGAAATACCCACTCCAGAGTGTCCGCCACGTCCACCAAATCCAAATCCGGGATTTGGAGGACCACCACCGTCAACAGAGCAGCGACCCCTGTCGTGGAGAAAAGCAGAGTGCTTGCACTGGCCCTGGGGAGGGTGGAGGGCGACAGGGAAACGCACCAGTGAAGATGTTGAACATGCTCATTCGGGTGTATCCGGTGGAGGGGATGGTGAAGAGGAACGAGGTGAGGTACGTCATGGGGATCACGGCAAAACCGTAAGCCGCGAACAACAGCAAGATCCTCACTGCATGGACATGCATATACATGTACATTCAGGGTACCGTTTGGTGAGCATGTGTCAAATCACTATTTCAGAAACTTGCAGCTTGAACAGGCAAGGAGAAAGCGTAATATTCCTATTCCGTAAGAGAGACCTAGAGGAACGTGGAGCGCAAATAATCGGAATATGATCCTTCCCTTCCCTCACTTACATCAAACCCAGAACGATGAATGCGTGAGGAAAATGTCAGAAATAATATTACTCTGTGACTTGAATATTTTTCAATAAATAAAGGGCTTCACGACTTCTTTCTCGGCTCTTGTAGTCGCGTTCTGTCCGAATGGGTTTCACTCTTTCCCTATTATCTTCGTCTGACAGTAAGATAGAAGCAAAAATAATGTTGCCTTGACCGCAGTGAAGATTAAAATGCACACACGAATACAGGTGATAATGTTTTTTTTGCGAGGTTCCTGTCATTTTTTTGCGAATTTTGATAATACGAAGTATTAGTACTGAGATATGAGCCGAGAGGGAATACATGTTTCAGTGCAAAACCTCCCACTCCCTCCCCTGAGCCTTCACTCGCTCCCCTCTGGATCTCTCCACCGATCTAACTTTCAAGTTCTCTTCATTCACAACTGCATTGGACTTGCTCCGTCTGATTGAAAGCAGACTTTTACCTTGCTCTTCGGATTTGGTGAATCCATCCTCTTTGAAGAGGACGAAGACGAGGTAGATCCCAGCCACGGTGACCATGAACACCGCAAAGTCCCAAATGAAGGCGGAGGCCCAGTAGAGCCAAAAGCGAAGACCCGACGCGTATTGCAGGTGCTTGGACTTCGTCATCCGCTCCCGGACGAGGAAGATGACCATGCCCGAGACGAGGAAGCTCATGCCGAATGCCAGGTTGAATCCCACTTGGAATCCCACTGCCGATGCTCCTCCCGTTTCTCTCAACTCCTCCAACTGCGTTATTTGCCATTTCTCAGCTTAAAATGAAGAAAAGTGCCTTAGGGGGGCAGAAGTCGATGCATTGACGCCCCATGTCCACATTTTCACAGAATGGAACACAGAAAAAAACCAGAGACTCTTATGACCTTGATCCTCATGACCACCCCCCCCCCCCCCCTCTTTTGACTTTGTCAAGAACATAGGCCTTAGGCACGTCAACAACGAATCTCTTTCTAGCACTCGACGGATTCCATTCAACGTTCTACAAAAAAAGAGAGCAGTGGTGTAGCAACAGGACGGACCCTTCCACCCTCATTGCCCTTTTTCCGACTCCTTAAGAAAAGAATAATAGTAAAAGAGAATCAAAAGAACACAAGAGTCGAAGACGAAGAGAGCTTTCCAACAATGTTGACTTCGCCGCGATCATGGCATGATATCTCTAACAATTAACGGGAAAATAGACGGCTATGTCTGATTTCAAAACTGCAATCCAGCCGCAATTCGGATGTGATTCAGTTCCAGTTTCAGTTCAGTTGCAGTTCCTGTTGTGATTTCGTTGTGAGAGTGGTCGGTAAGACAAAGGTCTGAACTGAAACCAGAACCGAACTGCAACTGAACAGTCGTTTCGAAATCAGTCTTAACTCAAGTAGCAGAGGTTTGACTGGTTATGCAAAAAAGCCTTCCAATTTCTGATAATTGAGACTTTGAGTCCTGGCGGTTTGATTGGGCAATCGGCTAAGGTCGTACATGACGATTCTGGACCTGGCCAAAGTAGCACCGAAACGTTTAAACCGTGTTCAATGAACGTTTCATTGGAGGTTAAGGTATTGGTTAATTGGTATCTCTTGGAAACGTTCCATTGACTGATCAAATTTTCACAATTTAGAGCGATCAAAAGCAGTTCCAGTTATGCTTTCCCTGAACGTACTTCAAGGACGCGAATCGAATATTGCATCAAACAGCATCTAAGGGTTACATTCATCCCAAGGCTAGCTCTGCTCCCGTGATAGGCAATCACGCATAGGCAATCACGTATTCATTTTTTCTAATTAGAAGTACTATCTTTCCTCATGTGGGAATGATTGTATATATACCCGTCCTTGAGTGTGCTAGAGTCCTTTCTCAGGCGCAGAACACTCTGATGTGCCCATCTGCTGAGCAGCTCCTTCTCTGCGCCGGAGATGATGTACTCCTTCGTTACCCAATCTGTCTCCACAGCAGAAGTTGGACCCGCTACAGATTGGATCCCACATTTCAGAAACGATGATGCGGTTTATCCACTCCTCACATCATTCCCCATGAAGTCACCTTGAAATCTGAACCATCCTTCCTCAATCCTCCGAGCCAGAGCTTCCTAGAGATTCCCTGGACTGGGCTACCTCATGAAACCGATTTGTTGAAATATTAAAATGTCTTCCCTGCGATGTCTGTGAGGAAAGATACTTTTCCCGCACCGCGGGAAAAGTATTGGGGACTGATTCCAGCCCTATTAGCTATCGATTAGACATAGCTGCCACTATGGTGTTATCTGGCGCCAGTTGTGTGAACCTTTGTTGTTTGGTTCTAGTCATTGTCAGATGGGTACAGATATGCTCAAGAAAAATTCCTCCTTAACGCTGAAAGAACGTCATAAAAAAAGTAATGTATTAGTGATCGAAGAGCACTTTTGGTGAACGTCAAAAAACCTCATTGAACAGAGGTTGAACGCTCATGTGTTACTTGGGAGGAGCTTTGAAATCCGTGGTACGATTGCAGGCAATAATTAAAAATACGTAATACATTTGCTTTCAATACTGCATAATCATATCACACTATCGTTACAAGAAAAAATAAGAAAGTACTGAAGCTTCTATCCTCAGGATGTGCTCAGAGAGGGCCGCGGACCGCCACTACGTCCGAATGCTTACACTGAGGCTCGAGATTTTTCTCCACAACGGCATTTTCATCAACTTTAATGAGAATAAGGGGATTTGTTAAGCTTCGGGGGGCGGGGACAAGTTTCCCCACTGGCCGCCCAAGGTGACCAACTGTTTTTCAAGTCTGTGCACAAAGGTGCGCAGAGCACTTCAGCAGAAGCAATGGTGCCAATGCATCCACACCGCCACCAAATTAAAATTTTAGAGTGAAGCGATAGCAAAAGAACAGACCTCTTCGTCCTCGGAGAGGGGAAGCGGGTGGTTCACCACGGAGATGGAGAAGGACCAATTGAAAAGGGTCTTGAGGATGGCGTTCTCCAGCCCGGACAGCGTCAGCGGGGGCGAGTGCAGGGGTCTCCCGTTGAACAGCGCCACCGCGACGGTCTGGTTCACGAACGTCGACCCCATCACGTACCTCAGGTTGTAGGAGTACACATCCTCCTTCCCCTGCCGCGCCGCATTAAAATGTTATGGTATAGGCACGAGTTCGGACAACAACCTCTGAAGTAGGATTCTTTTAGCAGTATCAACGAAATATAAGGCAGGCAATATTTAGCCCCTATGACTTGTATATCACTTCAGTAAAAAAAATTTTCAGGAAAGTAATTCTTATTATGAGCTTTTTGACATATCTCCGAAATTCGGTATGTCCGGTAGCAATGCAACACAACCGTGGAGGTTAAGAATAATTAGATAAAAAATTATGTTAAAAGAAGCGCACCAATGAGGTGCTGGGAAACCATCTAATGGATGGCAATTGGGTGGTGGACTTGCAAAATTCCATTAACATGTAATAATAAAAAATTAGGTGTACTTCCCAGAAAGAAAGAGTCAAAGTTTTACCTCCACGGGGGGAACTAAAGAATGTGTTCCCCTTTGTACAAAATGAATATGCGAAGTAGAAGTGAATTCCCGCGAGGAAACAAATCAGAATTCAAGTTAAATCTGCTGACAACGGGAAAACAATTTTTTTTTTCAATCTACACCGACCTTTTCGATGAGGAAATCCTCCACGGTCTTGTTGACAGGCACGTACACCTCCTCCCCGAAGTCAGCACTCAGATAATTCAAGTAAGTGTGGAAGACGCCTTGGAGGAAAGGCGCCATGTCCTCCTCGCACCCAGCCGTCACTTGCGGGTTTCGGTACGGCTGTGTGCACGCAACAACCACAGTAATTTTATTTTGGGATCCTTGCCTCGAAGTGGACCTTTCAACACCAACTTTTAATTTTATTATTGAACTCGGTTTGAAAAAGAAAATTTCGTTTTTCTTCGCATAAATTATTCATTCATTTTGCTTTTTTTTGCGCATGAGAAAAAAGACTCACTTGGAGTGAAATGAGAAGAGGACGAGAGTCTTCGACGCCGGGAAACGTCTTGGCCACGACGAGGGCGATCACCAGGAAGAACACCGGCGTCAACACCTACGGTTAAAAGACAGCAGAGCATTTCTTTACAACTTCGATTACATGCTGAAGCGCAATTATCGCCTCGCTCTAAGAACTGCACAGGTTCCATATTAAATTCAAATGACCCCAATCAAGGCCAAAAAAAAAGGTTGGGAATGCCATTGTCATCCCATGGCAATGGCATTCCCGGCTAGGCCATGCAATCCCAGAGATAGAAGGATAAATATTGTGGCGGATGAGGATGGCATCGAGAAGGCACACCTGTCCTGGGTTCAGTGGTGTAGCGATAGCAGACCTGACCGATAATCAGGAGACACGGATTCAAGTCCCGGCCCTAATAATATATTATTTCACTTCCGTTACTTCTTACCGTCGTTATTTTTTAATTGCAGGCATTTTTTGTTGTTTGCCTTTGCGAATATTGTAACGATTGCCTTTTNGTGCTAGAGTCCTTTCTCAGGCGCAGAACACTCTGATGTGCCCATCTGCTGAGCAGCTCCTTCTCTGCGCCGGAGATGATGTACTCCTTCGTTACCCAATCTGTCTCCACAGCAGAAGTTGGACCCGTTACAGATTGGATCCCACATTTCAGAAACGACGATGCGGTTTATCCACTCCTCACACCATTCCCCATGAAGTCACCGTGAAATCTGAACCATCCTTCCTCAATCCTCCGAGCCAGAGCTTCCTAGAGATTCCTTGGACTGGGTTACCTCATGAAACCGATTTGTTGAAGAATTCAAATGTCTTCCCCTGCGATGTCTGTGAGGAAAGATACTTTTCCCGCACCGCGGGAAAAGTATTGAGGACTGATTCCAGCCCTATCAGTTATCGATTAGACATAGCTGCCACTATGGTGTCATCTGGCGCCAGTTGTGTGAACCTTAGTTGTTTGGTTCTAGTCATTGTCAGATGGATAGTACAGATATGCTCAAGGAAAATTCCTCCTTAACGTTGAAAGAACGTCATTAAAAAACGTAATGTATTAGTGATCAAAGAGCACTTTTGGTGAACGTCAAAAAACCTCATTGAACAGAGGTTGAACGTTCATGTGTTACTTGGGAGGAGCTTTGAAATCCGTGGTACGATTACAGGCAATAATTAAAAATACGTAATACATTTGCTTTCAATACTGCATAATAATATCACACTATCGTTACAAGAACAAATAGGAAAGTACTGAAGCTTCTATCTTCAGGATGTGCTCAGAGAGGGCCGCGGACCGCCACTACGTCCGAATGCGTACACTGAGGCTCGAAATTTTTCTCCACAACGGCATTTTCATCAACTTTAATGAGAATAAGGGGATTTGTTAAGCTTCGGGGGGCGGGGACAAGTTTCCCCACTGGCCGCCCAAGGTGACCTACTGTTTTTCAAGTCTGCGCACAAAGGTGCACAGAGCACTGCAGCAGAAGCAATGGTGCCAATGCATCCACACCGCCACCAAATTAAAATTTTAGAGTGAAGCGATAGCAAAAGAACAGACCTCTTCGTCCTCGGAGAGGGGAAGCGGGTGGTTCACCACGGAGATGG